ACCGTACTGGTAATTTCACGTCCATGGAACTCCGCCATCCACTTTTTTAATAAATCAAACGACGATGGAACTTTCGGGGCTAATTCAATCGGTCGCCCATTCCGCGCGAAAACTTTTTCATCCTCTCCGAGTTCGAGCTCACGACGCTTGCCGCTCCCGGTTTGTTCGACAGGCTTCAGTCGTCGAAGACGGGGAAAGAGGGTTCTTGCAAGGAAACTACGGACAGAAAGTCTCGGGAAAAAATTGCCGTGTCCCGTAGGGAGACCTTGCAGGACGACGAGACGAAGTTTGCAGCCCTGGTGAGGTCGCACCGCGAGGCAGAGAAGAGATGCAAGTTCGAGGAGCTTCAAGCTGCCTCCAGGAAGCTCGAGAGACGACTGTACGAGGAGGATGACCATCTGAGAGCGAACAAAGACAGGTCTGCCGCCAGGTAAATCCCTCGAGAGTTTGTAGTTTTTCAGCTTTCAAAAATATTTGACGGGCGCAGAGAATCTTTCACGATAAACTTGTTTCCCAAATATTTCTAGAATCTTGCAACAGTATTCAAGATTTCTCAATAGGAGAGTATTTAAAAAATTAATTAATGTCGAGAGTAATGTTAAGAGTATTTCAAAAATTAATTAATGTCGAGCTTTCGAAGAAATGAAATGAAAGAACCTTTGGCGATATATTTCTTCATCTTTCGTTCGAAAAAAAAAAAAAAAACAAAAAAAAAAACAAAAAAAAAACAGGTACGACGAGCAGAAATCCGGGGAAGCGGCTCCACGCGGGAAATACGAGGCGGAGATGGACAGAGTGCGGAATATTTTGCAGCACAATCTGAGGAAGGAGAGGAACTGCGAGAAATTGGAGAAGCTACCGAAAGCGACGCAGACGAATCTCCCGCCGCCCCTAAGCGCGATCACGCAGAACTCTGTGCCGAAGCCAATGAGTGTTCGACAGGACAGCAACGTTTCCTCGGACAGTTTCAGTCAGACCAGCTCGCCTAGTTACACCAGCAAGACCATGGAGGCTCCTCTTTTACCCCATAAATACGGGAAAGTACCAGGTAAGGATGAATTAATTATCGTGATAAAAGAAAGAATCTAGATTTCATCCTTTGACTTCTGACTCTTTGCGGATTTTTATGTAAATTCGTATTTAAAATTTGAAAAGAAAAAGAAAATTGGAAATTTATGCATATTACGAAAGCAAAGAAATAAATTAAAAACTGAAAATATGTTATTAGACTGCTGTGTTCTTCCCATTAAAAAATAGCCTCGAATGTGTTACGAAGAAATAGAAGTTGCACTACCATGCTAGTAATCCACAGTTTTAACTATGAGAATCTAGATATATGTTTGATGCATTAAGTAGACTTAAATCTCTAAGTTTAACAGACGTATTCAACCATACTACGACTGAGCAGAAATTTCGCTGTACGATCGATGATGGATCGAGGCTCGTTTTAATCACACGCCGCGTTTAGCTTCACCAACGTGACAAATCCACCCGATTTTCCAAATTAACGTATCCAGCATGTTCCTTCGCATCGCCGATAAAACAGACATTTACTTCGTCAGTTTCTTCTGTTTAAACACCAGTGTTCCGATATTTCATCGTATCGAAATCAACGATTCAATCACAATCAACAGAGAGAAAGGGAAAGAGACAAAATGAAAGAAAGGGAGGAAACGACCAACCTCCCTTAAAAATCGATCTCAATTAATCATCCTGGTACTCGTGTCATTTCTCCTTTCGTTTCGCTGTTGTTCAATTGCACTCGTTTGTTAGAAAAGCAAACCGTCACGGGGCTTCTATACGTGACTCGAATCCACCCTCCCGTTTAACCTATTAAGGTTACCGAGCAATAATTCATCATTCAGTATTACAAATACTTTGATTTCTCGAAATCCCGTAAAATTGTATAGAATCCAGGTGAAAAATATGTACCATTTATTATATCACATTGACTCGTATCTGCCCATTTGACGTTGATATAGTAAAAATGTAGAATTTTGATGATTGAAAGGGAATTTCGTGAATGAAATGAAAATTCGCCAAATCTGTGACTGCAGATATTCATTACGACATCTAACAAATATAAAAATTCTTCTTTCTTTACTACATCAGAACTAACATCCTTAGCAGCGTTTCTTCCGATTTAATTATAATTAAACAGTTATAATTAAATTATAAAACTATCGGGAGAATGCTCCTGACAAAATTAAGAAAACACAAGCTCGTTCAAACTTAAATTCACGAGATCGCCATTTTGCTCTCTGCCGGTTCTGGCGTCGAGTATCACTCGCGATGATATATATAAAAAAATGCGTAACGTGTAAGAATCGGCGATCCAGCTAATACTCCGGCGATGTTAATGAAATTCCTGGCGGAATTTTCAGACAGAGCACTGGTGTCGGAGCCGGACAGTTCCTCCGGGCGGACGATCATCAAGTCGACCAGCACGCCGGCGAGCTTGCAAGCGATCGTGAAGGTTCACGGTGGTAACAACGGCTCCTTGCATCACAAGGTAAGCAAATGCCTCACAGCGACGTTTCGCAACGCGCAGATACGAAATAACGCCTGGTTACGTAACGGTGAAAATGGCACGATTAATTCTTTCGCGCCCGTCGTTTATCGATTGCGTTCGTTTCCCACGCCTGTTGTTACGTAACGTCGAAAGGATAGATACAGACAGACAGAAAGATAGAGATAGAGAAAGAGAGATATGCGCGCGGAATTAAGGGTCAAGCGATTTCTGAAGGCTGGCACGCTTGGCCGAGAGCGAACGAATTTGGAGGCCAACTCGTCGACTTTCCAAAGCGAGCTTGTTGACACGTTGCAGGGAACCGGAAACAGTTCCGAGTCAAGTCGGTTTAATTGGTCGCCCGGAAGCAGCCTGCAGCAGACTGCAGTCGAACCGTGATTCGGATCGAGAAACGCTGATCAAAGATGATGAAAGTTATCGCCTTATATTCCCTACGATCTTTCGCAGGGGATATTTCGCCGAGCTATGTAACGAACTGGAGTAAATTGATCTGCCCACGTGACGGTGAAATATTATATTGGTTCTTCGAGTGGGCAACTTGAACTACGCGTATCGATGAATACTCGGGTTTCGGATAGAAATTTATATTGGTTGCAGTTAATTTTAATTTCGCTCGACCAGCACCAGCGTCCGCGGTGAAAAATATAAAATAGAAATTGAAGTGAGATTATATTGAAATTACTGCGCGTTACTCGTGCTCGACTCAATGATATCGGTTGAGAGTCGGATGAAAATTATACCAATTCTCAGAAATTCTTTCGCACGAGCTCATCGAAGGGTTA